GGGATTTTAGAAATGCAAGCCCACATGCCCAGCATGATTTTCAAGCCACCAGGTCCATGACTCAAATTGCGGTCTATCACGTAGGAGTCCAGAGCCTTGACTACCACACTACTTGTTGTTCCTGTCCCATCACTCTTAAAAATAGCACTTCTCCAGCCACATCATTCTGTTTTACCACCTAAGATTCTGTGCATATGTATTTGATCCAAGTATATCCCCCTCACACCCCTCCTCCCATTTTAATGTAGGAAGCAGAGACTTTTTTCAATTTTCTATTTCTTCCATGAGACAAACAGACAGGCAACCCCAATAAGGTCTTCATGCCATGATCCACTCCCAGCCTCAGCCAACCTGGATCATAGAACCCAAGAATGCACCTGGGATGTACAGAGAGATCACAGGATGAGAACTCAGGATGTTCTCATGTGGATCCAACTTCACAGGGCTATGTGTTACTGCTGTGCCATTGGGCTGGCTCTGTCCACAGCACTTTGGACAGTGCCTGCGATATAATGGCAATAGGAAGTTGTTGAATGAACAATGCTAATTATAGCAAGATATTTTTCTTTTTTCATAATAGAGCTCTTACATGTGTGTGTGTGGGGGGGCACCCCCTATAGGGGTTGATCACACTGCAATCCCCTTCTTCCAGTTCCCTGGATATTGAGCATATGTCCAGTACATTTCAGGGGGACTGGGCCAAGGATTTGAACCATGAGGCTTCCAGCACTGCAGCCTGGTGCAGTACCACCTGTGCCACCACAGTCTCTCCCTCCTCTCCTGTCCCTTTGAAGTTTTTATTTTATTTGTTCATGAGAGAAGCTGGGCGGGCCATAGCAGTATTTTATATGAGTAAAAGATTAGAAATAATCTGAGTTTCAAACGGGGAATCAATTAATAATTATAGTGAGTAATAGCTAGCTCAAGTCTTCTTACTGGATGATCAGAGAAGTTAGTTACTTAAGTTAAAGCAGAAGCTAGAAATTCTGGTTGTCACTGTGCCCCCTCACCACTAATGTTTCAGGCAACAGCTAGCGTCAACCACAGGAAATGCAAGTGAACGAGCCTTCAGATGATTCCAGATCCCAGCTTTGAATATGCCCTAGCTAATGCTGAGTGGAGCAGACATAAGCTTTACGCTGAGGCCTTCATTCCCAAACTGTGCTCTCAGGTACTCTGGGCATCACAGAGCAATGTAGTCACATCTGTCATGACTATGTAAACAGCTAACTCAATATAGTTCACAGTTTTAACATATCATTGTTCCTTTCGATGACATCTTATCTTTGTTACAGTGGTTTTTTTTAGCAGCTGCTGTGATAAGAAGCAAGTACTCTGAGAAAAATCAATGTAGAACAGGATGAGGGTAGCGGTATCTAATCTGATTCCACGAGTAGGTCATTTAAAAAAATACACAACTTCCTCCTTGCTCACTTTCTCTAGAGACACTCATCCTGACACCCAGGCACCATGCTCTGAGTAAGCCCAGGCCACACAGAGAGGTCATATGTACGTGTTTTTCTGCGAACAGCCTCAGCTAAGGTCTCAGCTGACAGCCAGCATCAACTGCCAGACCTGTGAGGCAGAAAACCTCATATGATTCCAGATCCAAGACTTCATCTGAGGTCCCAGACATGAAGAACAGAGACTAGCATTCTCCCATGTGCTGTCCAAACTACTGACTATGTGATCATAATGACTGTCTTAAGCTGCTAAGTTTGGGGGTAATTTGTGATGCAGCCATGATAACCATATCCATGGGGGTTCAACATATAAAACACAAGAAAGAAAATAAAAGGTCCTGCATAGAGCAATGATAATGCATCAGGAAGCAAAGATCATGACTAACCCAATTCTGTGCACCTGGGATTCCTAAAAAACGGGGATGAGGGGGCCAGCATGTGCCATTGTGATTAAGGTACTGGACTCCCATGTGGCCAACCACAGTTCGACCTGGCAGTGTGCTTTCTCACTTTCCTTTTCTCTTTTTCTGTTTCTCTCTGGACAAATTAAAAAATTAAAAAATTAAAAAAAAAATTTTTTTAAAGGGAGATGAGCACAAAAATCATTGAGATATATTTAAAAAAAAAATAAACTCAAAAGCAAATGTACATTTACCATTTTGATGTACAATAGAGCCAAAGCTGCTGCTTTGAGCATAGGCCCACTGACAGAAGATCCCACGACCCATCTTTAACATATTCTACACCATAGTGCATCCTACAATATTTCCAATTTAGGTTACTTTAAAGTGGAAAAGTGGAGCAAGGAGTGGAAAGGCTGGAGCAGGCAGGTGGTGTGGTGGTTGGGGTGCTGAATTCCTACATGGCCAACCATGGTTTGAGTCCTGGACCTGGCAGCTTACTTTCTCACTTTCTCTTTCTCACTGATCAAATTAACATAAAATAACAAATATAACTGAATAAATAATTATTTTTAAAAAAAGTGGAAAGGCTTATAAAGCAATGTGAGTGCAGAAATTTCCAATATTTTTATGACTGTCTCATTCATATCTAATTGGAAAGCAATTTTTTTTGAAAGCAATTTTTTTTAAGTTTCATTTGTTATTTTTAAAAAATTCACCTTAGAGTACATGCACTCATCAGAAAGAGAAAAAGAGAAAGTGAGAAAGCAACCCAACACGTCTGGGACTTGAACCAACGTCAGCCATGGGGGAGTCCAGCACCTCAACCACCATGCCACCTGCTGGTTCTGGGAAGCAATTTTAACAAATACCTTCACTGAATCTTTCCAAAACATTCAACTCCCTTTAGCCATTCCTATAATAACAATTTAACTGCATAATTATTTTTTTAGAAGAATTTTTTCATTAATTTATTTTAACTTGACCAGAGAGACACAAAGAGACAGGGAAAGTGAGAAAGCAAGCCACCATATAAAGAATTCAAACGTGGCTGGCCATGTGGGAATGTCCAGCACCTTAACCACCATGCCACCACCTGGTCCCCTAATTGCATATTAATATAATAAAGAGCACAATGGTCATAAACAGATCTGTAAGTTAAAAAGATCTGAAAGCTAAAAACTGTCACCCTTAATAAGTATTTATATATATATATATTATTTATCTCTATATAATTACATATAATTGTTTTGTTTCTAAAATTAGTAGGTACCTATTACTTCTGATACATAGAAATCAAGAAGTTCACAAAAAATTGAAATTGAGACCAGCAAATGGTGTAATGGTTACGCTGCTGGACTCCCATGTAGTCAACAATGGTTTGAGTTCCAGACCCAGACCTAGTGGCTTAAACTCACACCAGGTGTTTGTGCATATGTGTCCAAAATCCCAGAGGAGAATAGAGAAGACTGTGGAGTGGCCATCCACCCTAGGGGGGAATTCTCACTTCCTGTCTCTCTGTTTCTCTGGCAAGTTGCACATGCCCTACAGTAAAACTCTCTAAAAAAAAAAAAAAGTTAAAATTATTCTAGGAAGCAGGAATTTACATATCTGTTCTGACAAGAGATGTCAGCCGAGGGTGTTGTAAAGCCATATATTACCTGAACTGATGATGTCATCTATGTAAAATACATCAAAATTTCATGTATTACTAAAACAAAATACTGCCATTTAAACTGTAACACAATGCTAAGATACTAGATTGCACTTAGACTCAAATATAATACTATTTTGAGAAACATAAACTATTATAATACTACGATAAAAATGTGTAGAAAAAAGCTGAAGGGGCCAGCAGGTAGTATGGTGGTTAAGGCACTGGACTACAACATGGCCAACTGTGGTTCAAGTACTGGATCTGGTGGCTTGCTTTCTCACTTCTCCCCTCTCTCTTTGGTAAGTGTGTGTGTGCTATAGCAAATATAAATTAATTAATTTGATTAAAATAAATACTTCTAAAGATGCTGGAAGTCTAGAACCTTAACCACCATGCTACCTGCTAACCCCTAAAATAAATAATTCTAAAAAGAAAAAAGAAAAATGCTAAATGCAGTGATAATTACTGGTCAGGGGAAGTCACATAAAATATTAAGCAACATACTAACATGCTATCCCAAAAGGAATTTTCAAAATGGAAAATTTTAAATAAGCAAGTCCTTTACGAGCATGAAGCTACCTCCAAATCAAGATGTAAACAATATTGTTATTGTAATTAACAGCTTAAAAAGGCAGTTAACTGGCAATTAATAGCACTGATGAATATGTAAGAGAATGTGAAGAATTCTCAAGTAGATCACTACTCTCTTCCTTTCTCTAATGTGTATACAGATATCCTCCTGTTATTTAAATAAAAAATAATAGCATGTCTCAAGTAATTAATAGAGACCCTGTATTTAGAACTGCCACTTGTTCTTCTTTAATTCAATATCTCCCAAGTACTCTAAGTAAAAATATTTTTTACCTGAAACTAGCTGGTGATGTGTTGTTTAAGGGTCTGGATCCCATAGGCCAACAGTGAAGTTCAAGTCCTGGACCTGGTGGCTTAAAAACCATGCATGGTGCATGTGTGTGTGTGTGTGCACCAAATCCTAAATAGAGAAGGGACTACCCCAGGCCCATTCCCTTTGAGGGGTGCTTTCTTACTTTCCCCCTCTCTCTATCTCTCCAAAGAGTGCATGCACCTTTTAGCAAATAAAAAAAAAACTTTTTTATACACATACAGACACAGTTTGTTTACTGCCTTTTCAAAACTTGGTTTCAGGGACCAGCAGTTAGCGTAATGGCTATGTTGCTAAATTCCCATATAGTTGACTGCGGTTCAAGTCCTGAACCTGGTGGCTTAAACTTACACTGGGCACATGTGTGTGAGTGCCCAAGATCCAGAGAGGAAATGGAGAAGGGATTGTGGCGTGGCCATCCCCCCTGGGGGGTGATTTTTCGCTTCCTGTCTCTCTGTCTGTCTCAGTCTTTCTGGTGAGCGCACGCGCCCTATAGCAAAAACCTCTCAAAAAAAAAAAAAAAAAAAGAAACCCAAAAACTTGATTTCAAAGAACATTCAAATTGCAATTCAACCTACCTCTTCTTTGGTGTATCTTCCGTAGGTTTTTGAAGCCTGCTAATTGTAGCCTCCAAATTTGCAAGTGGTCTTCTGTTAGGTGGCTTTGTTGTTTGAACATTTACTGTACTTAATTCAACTTTCATGCTCTTAATAATATCTAACAAGTCTTTTTTTGTATTTTCTTTGACATTGTCTTGGCTCTCTGAAGTCTTTTTGGAAATCTCATTGGTTGGAACAGACTGCTCATCTTTCTTGCTATAGGTAACACAGTTGGTGCCAAAATACCTTTGGATGTTATTTTTTGTCCTGGAAAGATATTAAACAAAAAATACAATATAAAATAATAGAGCAATAACTAAAAAACCTTCTACATATATCTATTTTTTAAGTTCTGTTATAGGACACATACGGTTGGGGCGAAGAGAAAGGAAAGTAAGAAACCACCCCCTAGCAGGGATGGCCACTTGCAATCCTTTCTTCGACATTCTCCTCTTGGGATCTGGGCACATGCCACTGGGCTGGGATTCAAATCACGGTCAGCCATGTGGGAATCCAGTGCCATAACCAACAGCACTTGTGGCTCCTTCTACACATTTATAAATATTTTCAATTCAAGCCTTTTCTATTTGCTTTTTATTTAAAAATTTTTTA